GTTTCTCCTCTATGCCCCGCCTTTTTGAAACGCGTCGATTTTTACAAAGCTCATCGGTCTGAAAAAGCGAGGTGTGCTGTGATTGGCCAGCTATCCAGTGCGTTGTGATTGCGAATACCTCAAGCGTGAGATGGAAATGTTACGCCCCTCACCATACTGTTGTATTCCCTCAGCGACCAGCACGGATCAGCTCCAGGCATGACGAAGCGGATATCGTCCTCTTTTGGAAGACCAAACAAAGTAGTTTCGCTTTCGCAACGAAGCACACAGCGTCTTCAGGACATGGTGGCGGCAACAATACTACAGCGAGAATAAAAGTTACGCCTTCTTTCTTTGTGTGAACATTTGGGCGGCGTTATGGAAATCTTCCCACAGAGTGACGTAGGTATGTGGGGGCGTGTTCGAACGAGCCGTTTTAGGTAGGCGTGGCTGACTCTTACATTTTATAAAGAATATCTTTTTGGATTTGAGACTTTAGTCTTTGCAACTTTACAGATCTTCTTTATGCACCAAGAGCTTGTAACACTCCAAAGAGAAAGGACAAATTTAAATCGCATCATATGACCCCTTTAATATCGCTTCACACTGGAACAATGCAGTGCGCAGCGCTGCCATTAGAGGTCGCTGGAGCGATTCAACTTGTGAAGAACCGCCGCTGGGGATTTTCCACTAAGTTATGTTGTTTTTTCTATCATCACGTTTTTGTGTGCATAATTGAAACAGCAGGGCTGTGAATGAGCAAATTATGCAGCTGTCAGGCTGCTAATCTTCAGTATATTAGATACCAAACACACACAGACACACCACTAATATCCTACTAATATTCCTGCGAATAACATAGAAGAGCTGAATCATCTCAGAAGGTACCTGGAAACGTGAAGAAATTGAATATTTTGGAGAAATAATAAATAATAGGCATTTAGCTTGATAATAAAAATCAATTCTTCCAGAAAAAAAACAAAAAAACTTTAGACAACCAGATGTGCATTATGCTTGTAAAGCATCACCATATAAATAGATGTCAAATATTAGCACCAATTACCCTCATAAACGTATCTTCACTTACAAAGCTAGTAAACTAACCAATACAATGATACTAAACAATACTTACAAAACTACACAATACCATGGTACCAGGATATTTGGAATGTGTCATGCTATGGTATAAATATGGTAATGTTGTTTTAGTTAGGTTTTTTTTTTTTTTTTGTAGTAACCAGTAGAGGGCAAAGTATGTGCAGAGGTCAATATTGTACAATACTGGCTAGCACAAAACTGAATTTAAGTCGAATTTAGCTGAAATTTGTATTCACTTGTATACTCATAAAGCAATGTGCATGCTAACCAATGCACTTTTATGTTTTAAAACAAAAAGGAAATTGTACTGGTAATACGAGGCGGAAAGTCCAGGGGTCAGAAAGTACAATTCCTGCCATATGAATAAACATGTTTATTCCACTCATGAACTCAGCCAGCTGATTTCACTGATTAGTTCTACCTCCTGACTGGAAAACTGTGCTAATTAGCATATATAGGTGATTGGAACAAAATACTGAGGAGGACTTTTACTTTCTAAACCTGGACATTCCACCTCTGCTGGTTATTTTCTGCCAGGACATTGTCCAGTCATTTTATGGACATTTCTTTTAACCCAGAAACACAATGGAATTGAGTGCAACATTTAAAAATACAGGCAAACACATGTAAAAAATATTGCTTCATATTAATACAGTACATTGTGCCCTATTTTTTTTTTTTACAGTGCACACATACTACTAAAAAAGCAAACAACACAACTTTCACATATCTCACATTTACTATGGTACATGCAAAGATCCTTTCTGATTAATTTTACATGAGATTTATGAATACTAAATGACTTAAAAGTCCTTTTGATACAGACTGATTCATTAAAAAATCTGTCTCCGTATCGTCTAGAGACTCTAGACTAGAAAAATATTATAAAAGTCTTTTTCCGTGAGTCACTGAAATCACTGACAGTTTCGTTGTCCACCAGCAGGTGGCGCGATATCCTCAGTAACCTGGCAGAGATCTCTACGCACATTGTAGTGCTTTATGGAACGGCCTTTTTTCTCTCAGATTACGTCTATCTCTCTCGTGTCCGGTTTTAGCGGGGCCCCTCGTCCCCCGAGACAGATTACATTCAAACGCACCATTCAGCGCAAACGACACGCCAAACATACTGAATCACGAGCAGCTTTCCCCAAGCGCTCGCCAACCGCTGCAGCGCAAAATGAAACACAGTTACAGCGGCCGGACACCTGCACATCATTAGTCATTAGATTTGTTAGCGCTCTCGGCTCGGTTTGCACGCACGGATGAAGGCGCACGAGAGAACTCCAGGAACCCGCACATCTCCTCCAATTGTGCCCTCATGTAGTGACAAGAACAACGCCACGCTTGGGGTTCAAAGTGCTGGTAATTAAAGCAGGCCTTTGCGTGTCGCCATGCCGAGAAATCTTTTGTTTTAATTCGCTTTTAATCAGAAAGGACAAGCTGCCGTCATGAGCCGTTGAAAAGACACTCGAGAGAGAGCTAATGAAAGAAACAAAGAGCAAAGGAAAGGGCGAATTAGGAAAACAAAGAGCTGATTATCATAAGAAAATAAGCTTTGTGCACTTAAAGGAACAGTTCAACCAAAAATGAAAAAAATCTGTCATCATTTACTCACCCTCATGTAGTTCCAAACCTCTCCTACTGTAAATATATTAAAACTTCATTTTTGATGAGTAATATGCATTGCTAAGAACTTCACTTGGACAACTTTAAAGGTGATTTTCTCAGTATTTAGATTTTTTTGCACCCTCAGATTCCAGATTTTCAAAT